TTGATTTTTTTTTCAGTAGAAAATAATTTTCTTAAAAAAAATGAGTAAACTACTTTTCTCATACGTGGTTTGTCAAATATTTTGATTTTTTTTCAATAGTTCTTTAAAAAAAAAAAAAATATAACTTTTGAAGGTGAAAATAAGAAAAATAAGTTTCATAAGTGACAATTCATATTAATTACGTCCTTTTCTTCTTTCAAGTCACTTCATCTTCATCCTCACTCATGTAGACCACGCCCACCTTTCATGATATTTGTTTGGATTATAAATGAATACTTTTAGAGGATATTTTTTTCTTACGTATCAAACACAAGAAAATAAGTAAAAAGTCCACTTATTTTCTTGAAAAATATTTTTCAACAAAATATTTTCCTTTCATACCGAGCGCACCCTAAATTATAACTAATTTTCTTGTGGTTCATGAATAGTGAAAAGCAATGACATATGTATGCAGTCTAATGTATCATATACTAAACATAATTAAAGGTAAATCTGTCCGTATGTAGTTCATTTTGGAATCATATATGATCGTTCATATCGGACAAATTAAAAAAAAGGAAGGCCTAGAAAAAGTCGTTAATAAGCGTATATACCCTAACACAAGTATGATTTCATGACTCAACACGCCTACAACCTTTAATATATCATACAAAAATAATTTTATTATTACTCAAATTAAAGTCTCCCTTCTGAAAATCAAATAAACTCATACAAAATGAAGAACATCAACCATGCCCATGCTGCAGGCACTAAGTAATGTATAGAGAGTTTGTTGTTTCCTTTTGTTCATCGCTAGCTGGCTTGTCAAACTGTGAAAGGCAATTTAAAATTAAAGCATGCTTATGTTTAGTGGATTAAGCACATATATCGAAAGGTCAAAACTGATTCAAGTGGTATTACGTCCCGTTTAGTTATCACAGCTGTGATGAATTATCTCTTTATTTAAAACTAATTTTACTTAACAAGAAGACAACTAAAAAACACACAAATCTAAATATTTTCATAATTAAAAGAGAAAATGCATAAGTACCCCCCCAACCTATGTCCGAAATCTCAGAGACACACTTATATTATACTAAGGTCCTATAACCTCCCAAACTTATAAATAATTTTCTACCCATTTTCGGCCTACGTGGCACTATCAACCAGATAGCTTGAAAAAATTGTCAACACGCGCTGGGCCCAGAAGATAGTACCACGTAGGCCGAAAAAGGATAGAAAATTATTTATAAAATAAGTTCGGAGGTAATAAGACCTTAGTATAGTATAAGTGTGTCTCTGAAATTTCGGACATAGATTGGAAGGTACTTATACATTTTCCCTAAATAAAATAACAAACTTTCCTTCTTGTCTTACCTAATCGGAAACTTCACTAAAAATTATTTCCGACAAAATATAATGGAATGCGCTTTGTAAGCTTTTACCAAGTCAAGATTGCGCACCTTAACAAATCCAAACTTTTTTCTTGTTTTCCAGGGGAAAAAAATAGTACTTTTGCTAGGCGCCGCGCGCATACTTAAAAATTAAAAATAAATAAACAACGAGGCGACTAAAGTTATACAATAAGTTTTTCTGAATGTTTGAAGGAAAGGGAAATGATACGAACAGAACACATTAACTTTTGGATGCATACTACCAATAAAAATAAGATATAGTAGTATGTACTGAAAATGAAGTTAAATTTTATATGAGAAAGTTTACATTGGTATTATTTTTTTTTTTGTTGTGAATTTTACTGGACTGCTCGTGTAGTGTAAATTAAAATGAAAATGAGTGTGTTGGGTATAGCAAGAAAAAATAAGTTTTTGTGGCTGCTGGGATTCGAGCCCAGGTCTCCACGGCCACAACGTGGAATTCTTACCACTAAACTACAGCCACTTGATGTTCAACGTGTTTCGCTTTATTTATAAATTGGTTCAAAGATCTCTGACTAACAAAAATCCTGTTATAGTACTAGTAGGTAATTATCTGACAAACAAACACTTGATGTTTTGGTTTATGCAATCAGTGCTATGAAGATACATTTTGTTCTAAAAAGTTAATAAAATCATCCTTTATATCCTGTTATGTTTACGTTTCTTTATGAGTGGTGAGTCTACCAGAAATAGAACTGTTAATATGGATTGACCCATCTCATTCGAGCTAATTTATACAAGCTTTAAAATTTAATGGGTCAGGTTGGGTTGATCCATTTTTTTTTGTGGGCTATAAAATGGTCAACCCAACCACGAGTGCATGGGCTATGGGATGTGCCAGGTCAACCCACTTTTTTAAAAGTATATTTTTTATTATTTTTAAAATTAAATTATAATTTAAAAATATTATCATAAATATCGACAAGAAAACATTACATGGTGTTAGTGTTACTACTTGTTAATCAAATCGACAAATAAAATCATCTTTTTAATAATTATAAAGTTTGATTTCAAGTAAAAATATAAATAGCTAAATAAAATTACTAACCTAATTATTTTCCAATGATCATAATAAAACACAACTAGTATGACAATATCACATAGGCTACGACCGTATTGATTCCCTAAAATTTTTAGGAGATTTTGTTTTATGTAATACATATTTTATAAACATAATTTGTATTTAAATTTTAATATTTAAAACTTTAAATATAATTTGAGTTTGGGCTCTTGCTATTTTTAATACTATATTTTATTTTTTAATTAATTTTTATTTGATCCATGGGCTGGCCTTATTCATATTTCTCAAGCCCACAACAGACTTATTCAGGCTGGGCTAAAAAGACTATTTCTTAAATGGGTTCCAAAAATCTTAACCCAACCCTCTATCAAATCACGAATTTTGCCAGGTCAGCCCATATGGGCAACTCTAATCAAAAACAACTTCTCTATCACATTGACAAAAAAAATAATAATTCCATCCCATGTCCCACTTGTAAGTTCCAATTTTACAAAATGTAGGGAAAATCATACAAAATAGCAAACATCTAGCCTATATTAGGTATTATAATTCGCAGCTACAGTTTTCCCAATTCTTAATATTCGCTTGATTTGTATAAATCTAGAATTTGTATATAATTCGATTCATGATTGTACAAATCCAGATTTTTGAATATGTTTACCGTAACTATTTGTATACGATTTATGAAAAAATCATAATAAATTACCTTGTTTGTATATTGGCAAGCGAAATATACAAATGTAGTCATGAAAAAATCTTAAATATATAAATACATAATTTATATATACTTGCCCTATTTGTATATTCACATGTGAAATATACGAATCACAACCTCCATAACATACAAAACTATAGTTATGGAATGTGATTATCGAAACTATAGCTATAGAGGTATATTGTGTCTATTGTGTTTGTTATTTCTGAAATTTTCTAAAAAAAAAGTATGCTTTGATTATGCTTCTTTTGAATTGAGATTTTATTTGCCAACTTCTCTACACCACTGAGATAAAAGTCCATCTCTCCTATCCATTAGGCCCATTAGCACATGCCCAGTCCTTTGTAACATGGGCTCATAGACGTCAAGTGTAACAGACATTTTCTTTTGAAATTGCCACAATCACTTTTTGGAACTATAATTAAGTTTTTGTCACTTTTCACAAAATATTTAATTCATTTTTTAAAATATATTAATGATTTTTTTAAAAAACACTCTTAATTAGTTTAAACACAAAAAAACGTAAGAAATATTTATTAAACTTTGTATATTTATTAGTTTGAACTTTATCAATTATTTGTGGGGTTTGAACTACACAAATAGTTCATGTAATTTGAAATTTCAACAAATTTTGACACATAAATTGTAAATATTTGAACTTATAAAAGTTTGATTTGTGGATTTTGAACTTCATATAGGATGTTAAAGTTGTTTCATGTTTCAATTAGAGGTACTTTATCTGAATTTGTTTCCTACTGAAAAGTGGTTGAAAACACTTTTTAATTACATTTGAAGCAATAGTTAAATTTTATTTGCTGACTCAAAAATTGGTAATCCATCTTAAATTTACAATTTTTAATGAACGCGGAAAAAGTTTGATGTTTAGCTGTAAAAAAATAACAATGACTTTACAAAATATTTAACATCATTATTCATCCCCTTACATTGTTATTATTCACCGTTATGAACTTCCATCATCATATCAATTAATACATTTAATTATCACAATCACTGGCCAACATTTTTACATTCATCACCATATGTGTCAACTATCCTCCAATTACTATCAATAATCACCACTACGATGCCATTAGCCACCAATATATATCACACGATATAACTATATACATTGCACGATCATCAATTATCATCATCGTCCACCAATCACTATCGTTGGGTCATTCCTCTATCACCATTAGCTACTACTTATAAGTTATAACTACCAGTCCATCACCATCATTCTAATCAACACCCAAAATCACACATCAACCATCATATACATTTTTAAAACACATTATTGATATAGCTACGTATATGTCTAATATAAATAAAAGACAAGTTATATATTCAAATATTAAGAAATCAAATAATTTTAGTTTATTTTAATTTTCAAAACTCAATACTATTTAAATTTAGATATTCTAATTTTAATACACATCTAATAAAATTAATGAGGACTAAATAAATAATTTGAGACTATCTGTTCTTTATTTGGCGGCCCACAAATAATTTAGTCAGAAGATTAGATTCTCGTAAGTTGTAACCCCCTCTTTTCTCTCACTGAAAAAGCACAATCCGTGTCCAAACACAAAGAAGCATTGCACACCGTAGATCTCAATTCGAATCAACGGCTTATATTTAGTTTCCGCAATTCACATGGATCGACATTCTTATCCGTCCGATTATTAAGTAAATTTCCCAAAATTTAGCGGCCATGATTTTAAGCTCGCCTCATTTCAAACCGTCCACGAAATCCAGGACGCCCAAATGCACCAACTATAAATAGCCACCACCATCCACTTCATGTTTCGTCAGCAAAATTACATCAAAATTCATAACCCTAGAGAATTTCTCTGTGAAAATGTCTGGTCGTGGAAAGGGAGGCAAGGGATTGGGAAAGGGGGGAGCCAAGAGGCACAGGAAGGTTCTAAGAGACAACATCCAAGGTATCACCAAGCCAGCTATTCGCAGGCTTGCTCGTAGGGGTGGTGTGAAGCGTATCTCTGGTCTCATCTATGAGGAGACCCGTGGAGTGTTGAAGATCTTTTTGGAGAATGTGATTCGTGATTCTGTCACCTACACTGAGCACGCCAGGAGGAAGACTGTCACTGCTATGGATGTTGTCTATGCTTTGAAGAGACAGGGAAGGACTCTCTATGGATTTGGAGGTTAGATTGGGGGTTGTATGTTGGTAGTAAATGTAGGTTTTAGTTTACAATTGCGTTTATGCCTGTGTTGGATATCTGTAGTGATATTCTCATGCTCTAGAACTTGTAATTTCTCATTACAGTATCAATGAATAGATTTCAGTTTCTAGTGATTACATTGGTTCGTCTTTTAGCTGTTGATTAATTTTTCTTAATTGATTCATCCTAGTGAATATTTATTGTGCAATTCTTCTGAAGCAAAACCATTACACTGTGAAATTAAGAAAATCCTCGAAATTTTATGAGAATTGGAGTAAGAGAGACGAAATGTGAGATCTGATAGTATTCGATTGTTAAGCAGAGAGAAGACTCATTACATACAACAGAGTCCATTTTCATCTATTCTCGACATCATTGCCAAAATGCTTAAACTCTATCTAGCTGGTTCTGCATTTTGATCAACATTTTCAGTTGGTTGTCAATGTCTGAATTTTCTTCAATAGTTGGTTCATAGGTTTGGATTTAGATCAGGATTAGCTATTCCTTCAGCCAGCAGATCTACATCTTCATTAGCGCCTCCTTGTTCATCATTTTTCTCATTAGTGCCTCATTGTTCATCATTTCGCTCATTAGTGCCTCCTCCTTGTTCATCATTTTGATCATTAGCGCCTCCTTGTTCATCAGCATCTCCATCTTGCACATTAGCGCCTGCAGCCTGTTCATTAACGCCTCCATCTTGATTAGTAAGACCAACCTTGTGTCTGCCACAAATTACTCATTTGTTAGAACATCTTACAAGTCACACCACATATGTGTAGAGTCTTAATTTACAAATTTGTAATTAGAAACTTACAAGCTTATAAAGAATACTCCTTCTCTAATATAACTGCAAGGTTTGTCGATTGCAATCTGGAGAAATCATAAATTCTGTAAGAAAAAAATTAAAAAAGAAGAACAAGATTGTCCTCTGGTACTTACAAGTTTCCGCCCTAGCAGGTTTCCACATTTAATACAGTAAGTGTCGGCTACGGTTCTGCCATTTTTTTCTACTTGATGATATCGCTTGTCCTCTGGTACTTCAACATTAAAGCTGCATATATAAAGGTTTGTAACGTATATGTATATGCCTCAAGACTGCAGAAAAATGTTTAAGCTCGTCTGTAAAACCCAATTTCCAAACATGAGACTTACACAGTATGAAGGATGAATGATTCATCGCCTATCTGCAAAATATACAAAACAATGGGCATAGTAAGTTGTTCTGTGATTAGTCAAGAATATAACAGAGTGCTGAATTCATGATACAAATAGCTGTCAAAATTGAGGATTGAATATTGCATGTCCTCTTTATGAAATGAAGTGCAATTTTATCAGAAGAGAATTCGGAACAGTTAAGAAAAATTAATGCATATACTTCTTGCACAAATGACAAACATTTGGTATGTTAATAACAAATTGCAAGAAATGATGCAGTGAGAGTGAGAATCCATACATTAGTAAAAAGGTGATCCCTGATGAATCCAACTCGAGTTTTGCAGCTACGACAATGGATGCAATCATCCTCGTAGTGAAGTATAAAGGGCCTTCCCATTGTTGAATGAAGAACCAACTCCTAATAGATATGTTACAGAAACAAATATCACAGGTGAATCGCTGAATTATGAATGGGGAAAAGACTAACTGATTATGAATGTAAAGAGAACAGAGATGATGGAAAATGAGAATTCAAGAAAGTAGAAAAATGGCTAGTGATTAATACTTCTGAAAATTAGTTCTTGATTCTTGAATGAATCAAGTTGAGAAGAGTTATATATATCTTTACCGTTAACTGAGATATTAGGAAAATTTCTTTTTTCTCCTCTTTTCTTTTAAAGATGGGAAGTACATGTCTTCATAAGTGACTGAATTGGTTTAATTTCAGCAACAAAAAAAGGGTTATATTTACCTCTCTACTATAAAAAAAAGAAGAAGCTTTGTTTGTCCTCCGTCATACTTCTTGAACAAACTATACCCCTATAATCGTATTTTAGGGTTATATTTACACTTCACCCGTTAAAACTTCATACGAATAATATAAGGGAACGTATTCTTTGATGGACTTGAATGTTGCACTTGATCTTAGTCAATAATTAAGCTAAAATGTACAACAAGGAGTGTTTGCTCATAAGAGTATAACACTCATGTTCTTGTCATACTAGTATTTCATTTTATATTTCTTTCACTTTTTTTGGTTTTTGCTCAATTCATTCTTTTTTTTTCTTCCCACTGTATACAATTTTCGGATAAGGGTAAACAATGTTCTTTCATATAATAGAAATGGTCGAATTTGCCCATCCTTTCAACTTTTTGATCAAATATGCCCATAGCATATTAGAAATAGTCCTCTCAGAAATCATGTTTCTACTTCTTCTTCTCTTAGTAATATTAATGTATTTCAATTGGATTTACAAAATGAACTTTTAATCCAGACCAAGAACAGGATATGTATTTTAGATTCATTATCAAACATCTGTTCAACTTTGAAGATTTCTTTAGATCACACATTTGCAATAACATTCAGATTGACAGAACTCGAAAGCAGTAAATATGCTCCAAATATTGCAGATTTATAGATTTCAAATGAAACGGATACCAAGCCTTGCATATTACTACAAAATGAAAATATTGTTTTTACCTTTTCTATAACATTTGCCCCATGCTGAACCCTTAGATGCAGAGAGCAATTGAAATGAACAAAAAAAGTGAACTATGTTATCTGGCTCATAACTTCAGGATAAAGAGTAAAAGCCATTGAATCCACCATTCTCAGCGTATCTGTTAAAATCTAACTTCACCACATACTCGCATCAAGAAATAAGCAGCATATAGAGAGCGGTAGTATCAGAGCTAAAACAGGTAAAACGTTCAGTGTCAATTGCTTTGTTCCAACCTGAAGTAATAATATGTACTGTAATCCCAAAATCAAAAAGAGAAAAAAGAATATCACACAATTAGGCATTAGCATTTTGTAAAGTATGAACTCTAATTCAAACAGTGTATATCTTTCTGCATTTTGATCAGCATGAGTAGGCTATCAATGACTGCATATTCATCAATATTGTCTATTCCATCAGCCAGTTGATCGACATCTTCATTCGTTTCACTGGACGGCCTCGATTTTGACCATGATTCTGTTCTTTAGCGTCTCCGTCTTGCTCATTAGAGCCTCCATCTTGATCAGCATTAGCACCTTCATCTTGATCAGAATTAGCACCTCCATCTTGCTCAACATTTTGATCATTATCGCCTAAATCTCGTTTATTAGGAACCTGTTCCTTAGCATCTCCATGTTGCTCAGCATTTTGATCATTAGCACCTAAATCTTGTTCATCAATATTCTGTTCATTAGCGTCTCCATCTTGTTTAGCATTTTGATCATTAGCACCTAAATCTTGTTCATAAGGAACCTGTTCATTAGTGTCTCCATCTTGTTTAGCATTTTGATCATTAGCACCTAAATCTTGTTCATAAGGAGCCTGTTGATTTACGCCTTTAGCTTGATCAGCATTTTGCTCATTAGTGCCTCCATCTTGATCATGATCCTGTTCATCAGTGTCTCCATCTTGATCAGCATTTTGATCATTAGCGCCTAAGTTTTGTTCATTAGGAATCTGTTCATTTGCACCTCCCTCTTGATCATTAGGAGCCAACTCCAAAGACAGTATCACGCAACGTTTCACCACTCTGGTAAATAAGCAGCTCCCTGCCACAAAATACTCATTTGAACCAACACCTTACAAGTCATACTGCATATATACGCGCATGTACAGGCAGTCTCAATTTGCGAATTTGTAATTAGAAACTTACAATTTCATAAAGGATCTTCCTACTACAAAATACTCAGACTGTTGGGTAGTCTCAACCTGAAGAAATCATAGTTTCTGTATTTTATGAAATATAGAACAACCAAATCAAATGCTTTTTAATGTTAGTATCTTACAAGTTGCCAGCCAAGCCGCATTCGACATTGGACACAGTAAATATTGAGTAGGCTATTTCCCTCTAGTTGTTCTAGATAACCTTGGTGGTTAATTGGTACAACATAATGAAGCCTGCATATAATACACAGACCTCAGAAAAAAGCTTAGGCAAATCACAATCTCATGAAATACCCAATTTTTAAAATCCTGAGACTTACAATCTATTAATGTACCCTCCATACATTAAGTCATCCGCCTGCAACGTGTACAAGACAAGAACATGACCATGAAATATAATAGAATTAAGGGTTGACAAGCAAATTGAAGCAGGGAGAATCGTTACATTAGGAATGAAATCCTCGATGTATGCAACTCGAGTTTCGCATAAAAAGCAAAGTATGCAATCACGTATGTTGATTAGATGATCAGAAACTCCAAAACGGGACATTGTGGATCAACCTGTTACAGAACAAAGTCCAAGAGAAATATGAACTGCAACCTGAATGAATAAATGGAAATAAAGACTTAACTGATTATGAATGTGGAGATATTAACAAGTCTTATATGTAAACTGCAACTCCTTTATTTTCTGTAATTAGGATAGCTTTTGTTTTGTATTCAAACTCTATTACCTCTTCTTTTACCCGTCTTGAGGTTCAGATTCCTCTTCTACAACTCATCTCTCCATCATTCATTCCAACTCCCAAACAATTGCCCTTTCGATAAAACTTGATTGGGAAAATTATTACCTTTGGCAATCTACTGTCTTTGACGCCTTTGATTTGGAGGCTCATCTTGATTGAACTAATATTCCATCTGCCACTATCTTAACCACTACTCCGACACATCTGAATCCACACCAAATCCGGACTTCACTGCTTGGAAAAAGAGGGACAAAATCCTTCTTCTTTGGCTACCACTCGTGAAGCTTGGCCATATCTTTCCAACCTCTAATTTCCATCTCAATCTCAAGCCCGAGTCATGCAACTTCGTCACCAACTCCAAACCACCACAAAGGCTCTTCCACCATTATAGACTATGTTGACAAGAAATGTACTATATCACATAGTCTAGCTCTTGCTGACGAAGACTCACTTCTTGGCTTAACAAGAAACGAAGAAACTTGTTGAGGAAACCAAAGCCCTCCAACTTCAAGCCAATGTCATATCTCGCCAATACTCCAACTGCTCCCCAATCACGGGAAATCTCAATCAACAAAGTTTCACCACCTCTCAAAAATCCTCCAGTAGCCCATACAAAAACAATCCCTCTCGTTTTTCTAGTAGATCATCTCCTCACGTTATTTGTCAAATATGTGAGAAACCCAACCACGATCCCCGTAATTGCTACAACTTCAACAACATGGAATCCACCTAATCGTTCCTCTAACCGTTCACAAGCCAATATGGTCACTCCCTCCGCCCAAAGTAGATAATATTACACCATGTTAAAAGAGTATCATTGAACTGTTCTAGCCCAACAACTAGTATTAAAACTATGGTTTAGTTAGACTAGCAAAAAGATGGTCTCGGAGTAATGATATAGATTCTAACTACGTCTACTTGTTGATTTGCTGTTTTTACCCAAAACTTCAAAGACACATGCGCAAAAAAAAAAAAACTAGTGGGCTATGGTGGCCACATATACTCAATTGCTATATGTGACACACACTGGGCGGCTCAATCATATTAGTGGACTAAAATAAAAATCAAACGAGACCTTAAACTTAAATTGTTAATAACTTTTATATAATTAATTTCTTCTAGTTTTCAGTTTGATAATATAACTATTCTTATTTTAAAATATTTTTCATGCGATATAATACTCCAAATATGTCAATTTTTTTCTAATAATTCCTTCATTTTTCATGAAAAGTTTACTTTTTCTACAAATAGTATTCAATATTCGTTAAAATAATAATAACTTATAACCTATTATTATTAAAAATGAGGCCCCTTAAGTTTTATTTTTTCTAATAATTCCTTCATTTTTCATGAAAAGTTTACCTTTTCTACAAATAGTATTCAATATTTGTTAAAATAATAATAACTTTTAACCTATTATTATTAAAAATGAGGCCCCTTAAATTTGGGTCCTAAGGCACTCAATAGCGGACTCAGGATTGTTATTAAGGAGTGTCAATAATTAATAAAAAATATAATTGTGAGGCTAGAACCCACAACCTCAAAGAATTGTCACAACACTCTAACTGTTGGATTAGATATTTAATTTGTGTCAAGAGGTATTAATATTTATATATGTATTTACTAAATCAAAATTTAACTTCTATATACAATGCAATTCTCCGACGAAACGGTATTGAGTGACACCCCTTGGGTGAAGGTAGGTACGCCCCTTAAGGCTTAGAAGGTACCCAGGGGACCAAACGAAAGGGCACTGAAAGGTCTTCAATTAAAGCTTCGCCAGTACTTGAAAGACTCGAAAGAACCTTGTCTTCTTTTTTAACATTGTCGAGCCACCCCTGGTGACACTTAGACCATGAATAGTAATGTACCATGTGGAACTTTATTCAAGGAGGATATTATTAGATGTGTGAATCAAGTCCACATTATTAGCTATAAATAAAAGCAAGTTAATTACTTATAAAGTGTTATTTACTTTTGACTTTTTGAAGAAAAAAATATCGACTTAGATTAAGAGCTTGTTTGACATTACTGTTGAGAGTCCACAACACTTATTTTTAGTAAAGCACTTTTTTTGAAAAAGTAGGTATTTGACAAATCTGTAAAGATGCTTTTAAATAGTAGCAAAAGTTTTTTTGCTGTTGGGAAGAAGCTAAAAATTTCTGCTTCTTAATTTTTTTTTTCATGACTAAAAAGTAATTACCAATTACTTAATTAACACATCTCATATGTTTGGTCAAGTTTCATTTAATAATTTTATTTTTTATTTTTATATAATAAATTTTATATTTTATTTTCCATTTGTGTATTATTATTTTACGCATTATTTTACAAAATCAAAAAACAAGAAAAAGGTAACAACAATATTTTTGTAAGATTAGGAAAAAAGAAAAAAAATAACAATTAAAGATTTCTACCCTTCAAAAAAATGTATAATATTGATTGTTTGAATATGAACATTTTATTTTTAATAAAAACAAAAAATTAAATAATTTTTTGTAATAGATGTTTAAACTAGTTTCTCTTTATAAAATAATCTTAATATTAAAATTACATTAATACTTGCCCTTAATCGTAATTTGACTCTCAAAAGTACTTTTAAATTTTTTTAGCCAAACACAATTTATTTATAAAAAACACTTTTCTAATGAATTAGCCAAATACAAATTATTTTTTTTCTCAAAAATACTTTTTGAAAAACTATTTTTAAAAAGTGCATGTTAAAATAAACAACGTTTAGCAGGAATGCCAATAGACTCTTAACTGACAATATCACAAAAAATAAAATCTAGGTAGTAACGAACTAGGAAAGTTAAGTCTTTTTTTTTTTTTCCACAAAAAATTGAATTTGCTACTATTAGTATTAGGTGCGGGAAAGATGTGTTGACATCCCTAGATCTTCTCTCACACGGATCGGATCCCCTTCCAATCAGCGGCTGATATTGAGCTTCCGCCATTCACGTGGATCACCATTATTATCCGTCGATCACTAAATAATCCCCAAATATTAGCGGCTACGATTTATGCCCCGCCACATTTCGAACCCGCCAACCAACTATAAATACCCACTACCATCCACCTCATTCTCATCAGTAATTACATCCAAATTCAAAACCCTAGAAACTTCATCTTCTTCAAATTTCTCTGTGAAAATGTCTGGCCGTGGAAAGGGAGGCAAGGGATTGGGAAAGGGAGGAGCCAAGAGGCACAGGAAGGTTCTAAGAGATAACATCCAGGGTATCACTAAGCCAGCTATTCGCAGGCTTGCTCGTAGGGGTGGTGTGAAGCGTATCTCCGGTCTGATCTATGAGGAGACCCGTGGAGTATTGAAGATCTTTTTGGAGAATGTGATTCGTGACTCTGTCACCTACACCGAGCATGCCAGGAGGAAGACTGTTACTGCGATGGATGTTGTCTATGCCCTCAAGAGACAGGGAAGGACTCTCTATGGATTTGGCGGTTAGATTCTGGAGTTTGGTTGGTGTAATGGTAGTAACTGTAGGTTTAGTTTACATTGCGTTTGTGGCTGGTGTAGCTGTGGATTTTAATTCTCTGTAGCTTCTTTTTGGGTCTTGTTGTTAAGCTCTATATTTTGTTAATATTCAAGGAATCAAGTTCACCTTTCCAGAAATTACATTGTGTATTTGCAGCTAATTACCTTTTTTCTTGATGGTGGATGTTGAATGCTTACTTGTTGCACAATTGGGCGTGTTAATTTTCAGTTTCTTGCTCATGATGAGTTGTTCTTCAAACAGGATTGCATATGTTGTGTAATGAAGTTAATTTGCTGAGTTGAGCAAGAGATAGCACTAGAGTTTTAACATCTATTTATTCCTAAAAACCTGACATTTTAGTTAATTTTATCACTCACATCGCATTAAGTCTTCTTCAGGGTTTCAGTCCTTTGAACTGAGTTATAGAAAAAAAAAACAGAAATTTTATTGCTAAACTCGAGCGATTTTGTTTTCATCTCTGGATCTTGACCCCGTTCTTGGTTACTATATACAAGCATAAATGATTTCTCATCCTGACGTAAAGATACCATTGGACTTATATAGATTGTTTGGCCAAACTTTTAAAATCAACTTAATATTTAAAAGCATCATCTTTTTTTGAAATTACTTTTGGTGAGAAACTTTGTGTCAATGAGGCTATTAATCTCAACAGAAGTTCTTAAACAATATAGAAAATGTCAGGAGAATTCGAATAACTAGATCAATTATACTAATAGATATAGCAAAGTAAATCACATGAGATTGAGGAAGAGAAGTTTCGTGGTTATCACGTTAGTCTAACACACTTGAGTAAAAGTCTGAGGATCATTTCAATAAGAACATCTTGACATCAATTGTATATATCTACATTGCAATAGCCTCTTGACAAAAAGGAAGAAACGGATTACATCTGTTCAATTTCACAGATTTCCGAAAGACCCTTTCTTAGAAAAAGGGGAGAAAACAGAAATCAAGATGACCTCCTTCTGTGTGGCTTTGCAAATTCCAGTTAACTAGTTGGTCCATCACCCAGTTCATTGGGAGCGCCTCCATCTCAATCAGTAGCATCTCCATCTCGATCAGTTTTCTCTGCATCTTGATCAGTTGTGTCTCCATCTTGATCAGTTGAGTCTCCATCTTGATCAGCATTTTTCTCATTAGCACCCACATCTTGTTCATTATGAACCTGTTCATTACTGCCTCCATCTCAATCAGTAGCATCTCCATCTCGATCAGTTTTCTCTGCATCTTGATCAGTTGTGTCTCCATCTTGATCAGTATCTTGATCAGTTGAGTCTCCATCTTGATCAGCATTTTTCTCATTAGCACCCACATCTTGTTCATTATGAACCTGTTCATTACTGCCTCCATCTCAATCAGTAGCATCTCCATCTCGATCAGTTTTCTCTGCATCTTGATCAGTTGTGTCTCCATCTTGATCAGTATCTTGATCAGTTGAGTCTCCATCTTGATCAGCATTTTTCTCATTAGCACCCACATCTTGTTCATTATGAACCTGTTCATTACTGCCTCCATCTCAATCAGTAGCATCTCCATCTCGATCAGTTTTCTCTGCATCTTGATCAGTTGTGTCTCCATCTTGATCAGTTGAGTCTCCATCTTGATCAGCATTTTTCTCATTAGCACCCACATCTTGTTCATTATGAACCTGTTCATTACTGCCTCCATCTTGATCACGATTCTGTTCATTACCGCCTCCTCCACCCTGATTAGCATTTTGACAGATGAAATGCATCAAGAGATTAGCAAAATTGTACTGAATAGTCCCCACATTTTCTTCATTTGTGTCTTTGTCTTGATCAACATTTTGCAAATTAGCGCCCCCTTGTTCATTAGGAGCGTGTTCATTAGTGTCTCCATCTTGATCAACATTTTGTTCATTGGGGTCTCCATCTTGATCTGCATTTTCCTCATCTTGTAGCCCATTTAAATGAAGCAACGGCAAATCATTCCATAAACTAAGCTTGTTCCTGCCACAAAATACTCATCTGTATTAACTCTTACAAGTCATACCGCTTATGTGTACACTCTCAATTTGCAGATTTGCAATTAGAAACTTACAACTTCATACAGAATCTTCCTTCTCTAACATACATGCTCTGTCGGGTGACTGCAATCTGGAGAAATAAAAAAATCAGTATTTTTCTTTAAAAAGCAACAAAATATTCTTATCAATATTAGTATCTTACAATTTTCCACCCGATTAACTCTCCACATCCGATACAGTTAGCATTGACTACGGTAGTTCCAAATTGTCCTAGATGAAAATTCTCGTTTTCTGGTACAAGAACATTAAACCTGCATATATATATATATATATATATAAAGGTTTGTAACATATGTAATCATATGTAATATCAAATTGCATGAAATCATGAGACTTACAGCCTATTAAAGATCCCTCGTGGCCACACCTGCAAAATGTACAAGAAAATGAGCATAATAAATTGGTTCTCTGTCTAGTCATGAAGCATTGATTCTAAAATATTGAAATCAGTAGCAAATTGATCAAATAGAACAATTCAGAAGAAATAATATTCGTATTGTTACCATCCGAATATAATCGTGTACGCATGCCACTTGATTTCTGCACTTACGACAGTGGATGCTATCATAAAGTGGGATAACATCCTGGTATTCAAGTGAATAGCATCTCACCATTGTTGAATGAAGAAGACAGAAGAATGAATTTTATAGAAATGAGAAGAGAGAATGGTGATATATAGAAAAGTCACTTCTTGATTCTTGAATTTACCGTTAATTCTCAATCCATTTTCCCTCCAAAACTATTTTCTTTTTAATTTCTCATACCAGACAAACTTTTGCCATTTTCTTTAATTTGGTTTAGGTTGTACATAGAACTGATAAGAGTACGTTAATCCATCTACCATCCTTATCTATGCAATCCGTTAAAAGTTTGACTCATTTATGCCATTTTTGTTTGTGAAATTTGAAAAGGCTCATCCATGCCATTATTTGTTAACTGAAATGGCATAGATGAGCCAAACTTTTAACGGATGACATAGATGATCCTTTTTTCAAAGTTCGATGGCATATTTGAACCGTTTTTCATTTTAAAAGATAGTTTAATTAATGACGTGCATGAATCATGACCACGTGTACAAAATGGTTGTGGAAAACCGAAAATATTTTTAGCTTACAAAATAATGGCATGGATGAGTCTTTTCTCAAATGAACTAACTTTGAACCAAGAACAGAGCTTGTAGAAGAATGTTGATACTTGGATATATAATCAGACTGATGCTCCCCAATTTCGCAAAGCAATGGGTTGTTTCAGGATTTTATGCCCGTAACAATATAGTTTTAACCTCATCAGAGAGAAACAGACATCACAATTCGTATCTGTTAAAATCTTATTAGTCACACATTTTAATGAAAAACAAACTAGTGTTCACTTTCAAGCAAGTACACTTGTTGAAACAAAGATCCAGTGACACATGACTTGAATATAGAGAATGGTAGTACCCGAGCTATAACATGGAAAATGTTCAGTCTCAATTGCTTTTCTCCAAAATGAAGTAATATTAATCCAAAAACCAAAAAAGAAAGCAGAATTTCACACAATTATGAATTAATAATTGTCTAGTATGAACTCCAGCGACTTATACTCTAATAAAGAACCTTGCTATCACTAAGTCGAGTACCTGCAATGTTTACAAAACAAGAAAATAAGTTGGTTCAGAGCTTAGTCAAGAGATATAACAGAGTAGTGCTTAATTCATGATACATATTGTCTTTATGAATTGTCATCAAAAGATACAACATACTATAGTTTTCTCTAAGCGAATAGAACAATTCAGAAGAAATAAATTGAAAATTTGTAGTATCAAAGAAACACAAATCAATAGCAAGAAATCATACAGAGTGAGAAATCCTTACAGTGGGAATGAAATCAGACATGTAAGACAAATATCAAAGCTGCAAAAATCAATTGAAAAAAAAGACTTAACTTGTCACCAGACAACAAATGTAACAGAAAGAGTTGGTTGATCAATGAGAATCCAAGAAAACGAAAAATGGGTGGGAATTATAACAGAAAAATCAGTTCTTGGTTCTTGAATTTACCGTTAATTCTGAATCCATTTACCCTCCAAATCTATTTTCTTTTTAATTGCTGACTCTAGTCATATTCGCTTTTTATTTTGCATCCTTACACACATATGCACCGACTTAGAAATTGTATAGAGAATAAAAAACCAATTATGTTTCCTTTTCCCTCCCTCTCATTTGTATCTTAATAATGTTGTTGTGCGAATTTTGACTAACATTTTAAAATATAATTTTTAATCATATTGATATGATAAATGTTGCATGTTATAGTACTTTTCGTATAGTTTTTGAATATCTAAAATTTTATTTTAAAATATCAAATTAATGTAATCTAATTTAGCGTTGAAAATTAGTCAAATTAAGTACTTTCGAAAAGTGCAACATGACAACTAGGGGAAGGAGGGAGTACGATTTAACCATGATTAACTAATACATATGTTTGTTGCACTAAATCAAGAGGAACTCTTGGAGCAATGAGTTTGAACAATGGAAACAGTCACTAACCCAATATAATTGATCTAAAGACTAAAGTAGTTTCTATAACGAAGGTTTCGTGGTGTAGTTGGTTATCACGTCAGTCTAACACACTGAAGGTCTCCGGTTCGAGTCCGGGCGAAGCCATTTTTTTGATACATATATTTTGTTTTTTGAAAGTTTTCCTTTATGTGCCAAAAGTGTAGTGATGGTGCAACTTACTTAAGAAGTCAGGATCCTTTTGTTGAGAGAAATAAAGGAAAACTCTACTACCAATCCTCTCAATCAGCAATTTTGTATCAACAGATTAAAAACAAACTAAGCAGCATATATAGAACCTGAGATATCAAACATGTAAAATGTGCAGTGTCAATTGGTTTATTCCAACCTGAAGTAATACAATATGTAGTGTA